TAGGGATGCCAAGAATTCTTACGAACCTTTTAGGTCACAAACATATTATGTTCTTACTCTAAATAGTTATATGTTCTTTGCAGGATCCTGAAACCAAAAAACCTCGTGTTAAGTTGTATGTTGATAAAGAGACAGGAAAGACGAAGGGTGATGCTTTAGTCACCTATCTGAAGGTAATTTTGTTATCCTCATTTTTATCTTCTGCCTCTTTATTTTCCTTACCTCTTCCTACATTTTTCCTTCGTGATGTTATCCACATGGTCTACGCTATGTGTTTGCTTGGCCAGGAACCCTCTGTTGCTCTGGCTATGCAAATTTTAGATGGCACTCCTCTTCGTCCCGGGGGGAAAATTCTTATGTCTGTTACTCAAGCTAAGTTTGAGCAAAAAGGTAGTGTTTACTCGCTAATTATTCATATTTGAACATCTTTTGCATTTCTTTATCTATCTAGAATTCTTTGTTCTCCGCAGGTGATAAATTTGTATCAAAAAAAGTAGACAACAAGAAGAAAAAGAAGCTTAAAAAGGTTGAAGATAAGATACTCGGCTGGGGTATGTGTTTAGTTTATATATATTTGTTTAAATTTTGTAATTGCCCTCTCTTTTCATTCTTCTTGAGTGCAAGACTTTTCCTCTTCCCCCAGCCTAAGGGCTGTTTTGTCCCCTTTTTATTTTAATCTATACCACAGGTTTCTTGTTAAAAAAAAAAAAAAAGTTCTATAGAAGAGTTTTACTTTTTTCTGATATCAAACATACAAATAAAGTTCTATGTTGCGATTATTCATATTCTTGTTATTATTTATTATTATTTTTTAAATAATACTCTAGTGTTCATTGAACGCAAGTTAGGTCATCACTGTTTCTTGTGTGCAATTGGTGTTATGCTAGATATGTTGAATTCTAAGAAGCATATGATAACTTTTTTTTTAACAATTGAGAGCTGATCAGAAGAATCCATCGGTTTGGATAGTCATGTGTTAATTAATACCCATGCTGTAATGATAAGCCTCACGGTCCAGATGTAGGATAATAATTTGTCAGGATTTCATTAGACCACTGTTAATTCTTAGCATTGAGTGTGGTAAATAGATGAATTATATAGTTTGTTCATAAGGAGTCTAAAAGAGAAGGGATAAGAATGGAAAATGGTAGGTACAAATTGAGGATGGGTTCCTTACCATCGACCTGAGAAGAATTTTTCTTGCTCAATGCCACTTCATACAAAATATAGCTCAGCTTCTTCCTCCTTTCCTTCCAATTATCTTTTCGGTAACAATTTCCATTTTTTACACTTCCTAGCCTACACCTAGAAATAATTTCCTCCGAACCGGACGTGAAGGCTTGTTTACTTTGTGCAGGTGGCCGAGATGATGCAAAAATTTCAATTCCTGCAACTGTTGTTCTCCGTTTTATGTTCACACCTGCTGAAATGAGGGTTAGTTCAATAATCTTTTGTATATTCTCCATGTAATTGGAATTTAACATGTGATGACATCTTTGTTATTTTATATTCATCTTTTATGGTGAAGCTGGAATTGACTTCTACTAACTTGATAATTCCTCCGTTGAGTTGCATATTTTTTATATTTATAGATATTAGTAAATACAAGTATATATTATTTCTAACACTTTGCCTTGCTTAACTACCAAGTTTTTTGTTAGAAACTAAGCCAGATTCATGATACACATTCATGAATTTATAATTCCTAGGTATTTGAATTTTTAGGTGCATGGAGGTTCGTTTGTTAAGGACATGAATATTAAATGTCTTTTAGATGTGCCTCTTGGGTTATCATATGAAGGAATCATTCTCCTTTGTAACTAAGTCAATTGAAAAGTCGAGTAAAGAAATTCATGAGAACAATTTTCTTCTCTTCAATATTGAGTTTTGTAAGACAACAAAGTTTATTCTCTTCAAAATTGTGAGATTTAAAGTATTATTGTAAGCTCTTTGACGTTCACCATCGTTTTGTTATTGCTAGAAACCTCCCATGTCTATTAGCATAGCTGGTCTATGTGTTGGCCGGCACAATACCACCAATCTTTTTTGTAGGTCATTTTTATTTTTATTTTTTATTGAACATGCAGTGGTAGGTATGCCCATATATAGATTTATAAGCATGCGCATGCATTTCCATGTTGAGTAGACTATTTTGACTGAAATATTTTTGGACAGAAGTTGAGGGTAAGTAGCTTGGTCATGTAAATATCGATGAAGCAACAGCTGGTTCTTGTAATTTGGAGTTGTTAATGAAAAGTAAAAGGTTCTATCTCTTGTGTAGACCGATGAAAATTTAGCTTCAGAAATAGAAGCAGATGTTAAGGAGGAAAGCACAAGGTTTGGTCCTGTGGATTCTGTTAAGGTACCTCACCTATTTCTTTCCTTTCTGAATTTTGGTCTTTCTGTAAGTATTTAGTATGCCTTTTAAAAATAAAATGCTAGAATGTCGAAAATGAAGTGTTTTGTTGTTAATAATATATTTGATTTTTTGTTGGGGTTTGGTTCAGGTCTGTGAAAACCATCCACAAGGTGTGGTTTTGATAAGATTCAAAGATAGGAAGGATGCTCAGAAATGTATAGAGTTGATGAACGGAAGATGGTAACACATTTTGGTGTTAATATTCCTTTTTCCTTTTCCTTTTCCTTTTCCTTCTTTATTTATGATAGTTTAAATCTCATTTGGAATTTTGAACTTTTAAAACTTTGGTCGCTGCTCTACTATTTTGCTCAAAACATTTGTTTTAGCCAACTCATGAGGCCATACATACATGTCATGTCCAAAGTGGAATAAAGTTTAAAATTGATGGGACAAAAGTGGTGGTGTTGGGAGTTCAAAGTACAAGAACAAGAACAAAAATGAGAGATTTAAAGGAAAACAAAACTTTGATGGGTGGTGTAAGTTGGAGTAGCAGAACTTAGTTTGTATATATGATTTGGACAGGTTTGGCGGAAGACAAATTCACGCAAGCGAGGACGATGGTTTAGTGAACCATGCTTCGGTGAGGGATCTTGAAGCCGATGCTGTTCGCTTGGAGCAGTTTGGTTCTGAACTTGAGGCTGACTGACTGACTCTTAAATGCGCCCAAGAAAGCTGTATGAATCCTTAGGGCATTCTGTACATTATTATTATTATTATTCATATTACATGGCCTTCCTAGTTAGTGTTGCACCTAAAACCTCACCTGCTGTAAAAGAATTTTTTCCCCTTTTCTTAACTATAACAATTTTTCCCTTTCTTTGAAGGCTAATGCATTCTTGATGTAGACTAGGATCAAAGCTACTTTGATTTAGGTACTCCACTTTAATTTTTGTACTTCCGAACAATTTAATATTTCAACTTTTGTATGTAATCTATTTATTTCCTTTATTTTAAAATTTGTAGCGATTGAAAATATGATTAGGAGGTGAATGGAATTTCTTACCAATGTAGATCGCTTTACTGATGAAATGTGTTTATAAATTGTAATTACTAACTCCTTAAAGATGTGATAGTGTATATTTGCACCAACACTTGGAACTTTTTACACCAATTTTCTATACATACTCATAAGTTAACAAATTTTTGGCGGCGTTGTTTTGGCACCGTTGGGAAGTTCGATAGAATTTTCTTTTCTCAATTTATTTTCATAGAGTTGCGAGTTTAAGCTGCAAGGCAACTGCAGTGCAGCATGGGGAGTAGAAGTTTTAGGAGTTTATGAACGACAATTCTGGTTTGGAATTTCTACTTAATCTAGAATAGGACAGATCGAGAGTAAGAGAAAAAAGAACATGAGTTGCCAACATAGAACAACCTCCTCAAATGGGCTAGAGACCCCAAGCAAATCTAGCTGGCAATTTGCTTGCTGAAGCTAATCAGGTATGAATTCCTGGAAAGATGATCAGGAAATAGCTATTAGGACCTATGCTTTTCCAGCAATGGAAGAGCGAAATCCATGCATAATTAAGTACGATTAGGCAATTTCACGGTTTACCTTTTAAAGCATCCACATATGCACCTTAAGTTTTTCTTAGGTGTTAGTGACTCATTAAGATTTGCAGGAGAAGAAGTTATCATAAAGATAAAGTAAGATTAAGTTTATTTCCTTACACAGTAAAAGATGCAGCTACCTTACCTCTAGGAATGATCGACTCAGGGAATGCACTAGCGTAAAGAAATATCAAATTCAGAAATAAAATAGTAGTCTTTCAGCAATTTGATGATGAAACTTTGAGGAGGCATGAAAGAGATTCAAAGATTTATTAAGGAAATACACAGAAATAAAATAGTAGTCTTTCAGCAATTTGATGATGAAACTTTGAGGAGGCATGAAAGAGATTCAAAGATTTATTAAGGAAATACACAGAAATAAAATAGTAGTCTTTCAGCAATTTGATGATGAAACTTTGAGGAGGCATGAAAGAGATTCAAAGATTTATTAAGGAAATACACAGAAATAAAATAGTAGTCTTTCAGCAATTTGATGATGAAACTTTGAGGAGGCATGAAAGAGATTCAAAGATTTATTAAGGAAATACTCGCACAATAGAACACCTCATTGTATTCAAATGAAAACTTTCAAGTGGTGGACGCATTAACAAACAGAGATGAGATTTTAAAGGGGATTACCACGGGACGCATTAACAAACAGAGATGAGATTTTAAAGGGGATTACCACTAATAACTATGAACGGATAGTTGTTAGGAGCAATTCTGATAAGAAACAAAAAGGAGTACGAAGTTAGATGCACTAACGTCAATCAATACACAACTAGCTATTGTCCAACGTTGAACTTTGTACAAATTTTCCCTTTTTCTATTTTTAAATAAATAAAAATTAAAAAAATGGCACCAACTTTTAATTTCCTTTTTCTGGAACTTTTTAAAGTTAAAAAGAAAGAAAAAAAAAGGGTAATATTAAAATTTTTGTTATTATTAATAAATAATATATATTTATGGGTATTTATAAAATATATAGATATATTAATGTAAAACCATCATAGAAATGTGATATTTCGAAAATGAAACTTTGGGTATGCCTAAAACTTGGTGACAGTAACTGAAATGGAGTTTTTGGGGAGTTTTGAGGGTCTCAACGGGGCGCTTCCCCCAAACGTCCCGTCGGCCCATGTCGAGGTCGACAACAAATCACAAGACCTCAGTCAATCAAACACATCAATCGCAATGGAAATTGAGCTATGAAAATCTCCGGCGGGCCATCACTTTCCACCATTCTCCTTCTCTGATGTTGCCATTCAAATTCCCCTTCTCTCTCCGTCTGCCACGTGCTCCTCTTCTCAACTTCCTCTCCATTTTCGTCTCTCCCTCACGGGAACCCTCCCCTCCTATTCCGCTCTAATGCGATTCACAACGGAGTTGTTTCGTTTCTTCTAAATCTCTACACAAATCCAGAGAATTGTTTCTCTTTTGTTGCTTCTTCGTTACAAAAGGAAGCTAACTTTGTTTCTGCATATTTTACCAATCAAAAGCTCTGGCTACTCGCATTTATCGGTTCACCCCAGATCCGAAAATTCCTCTTCTCTGCCCCCTTTCCGCTCTCTCTATCCAGAATCTTTCACGCGTTTTTCCCTAATCCGAAAAGGGTTACCAGTTTTCTCATTGTTCTTACGACTCCCTAAAAGTATTTGTGTTTTGGGTGTTTTAGTTTTTCGAGTTGGATGCAAACTGATGTTCAACTGATCACATCCCTCAAATTAGAATTTCTCGGGCTTGCCGTTTGAATGGGGTGGAGTAGGTGTTTCCCATTTGGGAATTTTCTTTCCGCTTTGCATTGGTTGGAACTGGATTGATTGATTACCTTCCTTAAGGTGTTTCTTCTTTTGTCTTCCATTCTCACTCTCTCTGGAAAGTTTGTTTATTGGGATTGTGGAGATCTTTTTTATTTCATTTCGAGAGGGGATCTGGATTTTATCTCATTCTTTTCCAGTTTTGAGAAATTTTCAAGCTGTCCATGCGTTATATTCCTGGCAGTGAATCATTGGAGAACACTTTGGATTCTTGTTGCGAGAAGATTATACATTCTTTAAGTTATACATGATTATTTAAAGAGCGGATGTTGTTTCTTCTTCTATGCCATTGAGACTGTTGGAGGAAGGAATTGGATTTTGTTTGGGACTTCTGGTAGAGAAATTTGTAGGATTGGATATCCTGTTGAGACTCTGAGGTGGAAGTATGGGCTGTATTTGCTCTAAAGGAAATCCATCTGACGACTATGTTGCTGAGAATCATTCCAAAGAAAGACATTTGAAGTCTAATAGATCTTCCAGGCATCTAGGGGCTTCATTGAGGAAAGAAGAGCCGGTGTTGCATGCTGATGGAGGGCCAAGTGATGCAATGGCGCGATTGATAACGAACCATCACGGTGAAGAAAATGCTGGATCAACATCTGAATCGGATGATGTTGAGAAGGCAGCACCCATTGAAAAAGCTGCCACTACCAAGTCACTGCGTCAAGAACGACCAACTATGGAGGATGGAGGAAAGAGAGTAGGAGTACATAATAGTAATGCAACACCTAGTATAACCAATGTTGTTAATGGGGAAAAGGGGGCTTTGGTTATTGCTGGATGGCCTTCTTGGCTGGCATCTGTGGCTGGAGAAGCAATCAATGGGTGGGTTCCTAGAAAGGCAGACTCTTTTCAGAAATTGGATAAGGTTGGTAGGATTTCGATTTTGCACCTTTACTTTTAGTTTTAGTTGTTATACTTTTTATATTTCTTATCTTTAGGTTTGCACTTGTTTTATTTATATCTGTTTAGCCGGAGTTGTCTTATAAGATATTTCTAGAGTACCTTTATCGCTAGGGTTCTTCGTCCGAATTGAAATTTCCTCATAGAGGCTTAGATTTATAGCCATGGTGTTTGTCTGTTCATTTTTAAAATCAGTGATTTCTACTTCTCTTTACCATGCTATGAGTCATATCTTTTCATAATGTGTGCGCTGGCTGTTGCTTTACAGATGAGTCCTTGAAATCAAATTTATTGCACTAACTAAGATAGGTATATGTTTTGTAATCCCTTTTATGGGAAATGAATCAATTAATTTCTATAATGAAAATTACTGATAAGAATGGATTAGGCAATGCCCCAGAAATTTCTTATACGAAAACAACCATTATCTGTCCCAGAACACATACCCAAGGCTTTGAAACCATAGGGAGAATGGACTGATTTCAAATTATATTGTTGGAAAGAAAGAAAAATACTACTTCTTGTTTAATATAACCAATTATTCAGCACATTGGGGCCATACCAAAAGAGTAATCTAAGAATTTCCACTGTTAACTATTTTATATGGGAAATGAAATGTTGAAGTAATCAGATATGTTTCTTGGATCTTTTATTTCTTTTTCCTTAAGATTTCAATCATGGTTCAAAAGTTTGAAATTCATGTCTTTAATGGCCATCAACTTGAAATATAAATATGTACAAGTTTCTCAAGTTGAAATTGTATAGTTTCAAGTAGTAGCCATGTTGCATCATACCTTAATGTTGTTATAGAAACATGATGATCTTTAAGGGCGTTGAAAGTTTTTGGGAGGAAGGTCCATGTGGGGAGAGAGAATCATCATCTTTTGCACCTTCAATTTGCTGATGATATGATCTTCTTTTGTTTGGTTGGGTTAGAGTCTTAGTCATATTTTGTCAATGTTTGAGCTTGTTTCTGGTCTTAAAGATTAACAAATCTAAGACTGTGGTTCTGGGCATCAACTCTGGGGTAGGCAAATTTAATTCTTAGGCTTCCTTGGTTGTGGGGTGGCCATTCCTTACCTTGGTCTCCATTTAGGTTATAGTTTTAGGTGTTTCGTTTTGGAATCCTGTTGAATAAAAGATCCAAAGGAGGATGGCTTCTTGGAAGGCCCTTCTTTTTTGAAGGGATGGAGAAGAACTCTAATCTTATTTATGCTTCGTGGGATTTTGATTTACTTCCAGCTTTTCTTTGCAATAGACTTGAGAAAATTATGATGGATTTTCTGTGGGAACAAGTGGGGGGTCTTGTTGTTGCGAAATGCCAAACTCTACAGTAAAAGGTTATTATGAATAAGTATGGTCCTCATACGTTCGATTGGGGCCTTGGGTCAAAGATTTAAAGGCCCTTATTGGCATCCTTGGAAAGTGATCATTGGGTTTTCCCTTGTTTTACAAATTCGTTTATTGTAGTGTTTGGGATCGCTTGAGTACTCTTTCTTGGGAGGATTTCTGGGGGAACTAGACCTCTATATCTTCTTTATTTTCATCTTTATCATCTCTCATCTTTGAGGTTGTGCCCTGTTTCTTTGACTTTCCCCTCTTCTGGTTCTTTCGACTCATTTGACTGTCATTTAAAGGCCTTTGTTTGATAAGGAGGCTCTAGACGTTGCTACTTTAATCTCCTTGTTGGATAACGTTTGTGTTTGTCTGGTGAGTTGGGATATTCGATGTTAATCACCAGATCTTTCAAAGGGTTCTTGTGGTTGTTTCTTTGACCACTTGTGTAGCCCTTGCCCCTTTACCCCCAACTCACCAGCCAAACACAAACATAGGGGTTGGAAAGCTTTTGAGGACTTGGATCATCTGCACTTCCAATTTTCAAGATTTTGAATGGTTTTGTTTGAGGGCTTTTGGAGTTTGTTTGACCCATAGAGGGAGTGTTATCTAATGTTCGAGGGGGACCTATTTCATTCTTCTTGTCGATAGAAGGGTAGGGTTTTCTGGAGGACTAGTTTGTTTGCTGTTTTTTATGGAGCATTTGGCATCTGATTATCCCTTGGGGTATCAAGGACTTTCTCACCATGTATCATTCGGTCACCCTTTTAAGGAAACCAATGCTATGTAACCATGTAATCAACGTTTTTTTTTTAAACAGCAAGCAGTCCTTTGATATGATCTTTGATGTAGTTATTTATTATGCTATTTCTTGGTGTAAATGATCAAATCTCTTTACTTCTTATAGTTACATTTCTCTTTTAGCCAATTGAGACGGCCTCTTGTAATCACTGTGAATGTTCTTTCCTTTTTTACAAATTTCACATATCAATGAAATTGTTTCTTCTAAAAAAAAAAAAAAAAACGAAAAAGTGGAGCATTTGGATAGAGAGAAGTAATAGGAACTTTAGGGCGTGGGGTGATTTTTGGACGAGATTTGGTCCTTATTTAGATTTAATGTCTTGCTCTGGGCGAGTTTTAATTCGTTAAGTCTTGTTCTTTGAAATGGGGCCCTTTTTTTTGCTTGTTAGGCTATGCCCTATTTGGCTCCTTTTGAGCTACTATTTGTAGGTCCTTCTGTTTTGGCCATTGTCGGCCCTCTTCTATTCTTCCATTTTTTTTTTCAATTAAAGCTTGGATGTTCGATTAATAAAAGTTTGAAGGAGATACGAAGTGTAACTTACTTCGATGCCTCTCTTTGGTGTTTTCTTTGATTTAGATATTAACTTTTTTCAGCAACTATACATTATCCATAAATATGGACGGAGCCTTTACAGGAACTATTTTGTTTTTGTTTGGCTCTGTCCGTGCAGACCCTTTTTTGTTGGCCTTGTTTTTATGCTTTTATTTATCTGAAATAATAGCTGTTTTATTTTTTAACAGTAAAATATTGTGGTGAGCATGCCATTTTTGTATTTCATCTTTCGTTTGAAGGAACCACTTTTCTGCTGTAAAATGCTGTCAAGCACTAGACATCATTTTTGAAGGAATAGAAACTGAATTCAAATCTCAAATACCAAAGTGTTAGTTTTGAAAAATCAAGGACCAAATTGAAACTAAGTTCAAATCCATGGACCAAACGTATATTTTTATCCTAGAAAAATTAAGCAAATTAGGGGATAAATAGTTGGTTTTAAGTGGAATAACATGTTCTGTGTATTCAACAATGTACAAGCTAATTACAATTAAGGAAAACAACAAAATTAAAAATATCATAATTGTAGAATGACAACAACAAAGATTTACTACTGATTTTCGGTTATTAGAAATGCCAACACACACAACGGTACATATTTTGTTGATTGACGCAAATGAAAGAACCTATGTGGTAATGAAAAGTTGTCTCCAAGGAGGTTTTTTATTTTTCTTTCTCATTTTTTTTGGACATTTTGTCTACATTATTTAAATACGATCGGTAATACTACCACCTTTTAGTTAGTCAGATATCTCCAAAGAGTTTAACATGAGTGTCACCTATTCTCTTTCTTCTTTCATATATTTTTATACTTGAGCCTGTTTCTTTCCAGGGTTGTTTTTGCTGCTCAAAAGTTTCTATTTTTGATACAAAACAGATGTTTCATTGCTGCTAAAAAATATGGTATTTAATATAGTACTGTTTGTTTGTTGACATGGATATCTTGGCCTTTACATACCAATTCTTTTTTGGATGTACTGAACGTAGATTGGACAAGGAACATACAGCAGTGTGTACAGGGCCCGCGATATTGAAACGAACAAGATTGTTGCGTTGAAGAAGGTGCGATTTGCTAATATGGATCCTGAAAGTGTTCGTTTCATGGCCAGGGAAATCCTCATCCTGCGTAGGCTTGACCACCCCAATGTTATGAAGCTTGAAGGTCTTATTACTTCAAGGGTTTCTGGCAGTTTATACCTAATATTTGAGTACATGGAACATGATCTTGCAGGGTTGGCAGCAACCCCAGGGATCAAGTTCACTGAATCGCAGGTGATTTACTTTTCCCTGCTCTTGTGATAACTTGGATAATTAAGGAACCATGGTAAATGGAAATCTCAATGGCAGGAACTCAGGATCAAACATGATAAAGAGTAAGTAAAGACATTTTTGCATGCACACGGTGTTTAGATGATATTAAAATTGTAAGGTTGTAGTGCAGGGTTGACCGTGGAATGTAATTGTGGACATATATCCTGCGTTCAAGAGTAATACTGAAAAAACCAATGATGTGCCGGCATATCTTAGTCTTTTATTTATGTTTTTTGCTTAAATAAATAAATCACTGATTTCATTCGAAGGTTAGTGAAAAAGAAAAAAAACTATAAGTCCTATAAAGGTTCTAAATGTGGATACTATTACTATTTTCTTTGATAGGAAGTGAAATTTTTAGCTGTAGATATTAGAGTATGAGAACCCATACTTATCTCCCTCCATGCAACTGACGGATACTTCAGTTTAGGTGAATGGTTTGTGAGGTTCCTTTTCATAATAGTGTTTCAACTGCCCATGAAAATGTGAGGATTTATGCTTGTTCAATCCGTATGATACAGTACCTTTTTCCAAAAGTATAAAAGGGAAGATGAATTTGAAATCAACAGGTTGTACCTTAATTCATTTGTATAGCAATGGTAATGATTCAAGACTGAAGCTAGACTTAATATGTCTGTTTCATATTAATGTGCAGATAAAATGCTATATGCAACAGCTGCTTTGTGGACTTAAACATTGCCATGTCCAGGGAATTTTGCACCGTGACATCAAGGGATCAAATCTTCTGATTGATAATAATGGTAATCTAAAGATAGGTGATTTTGGTCTATCAACCTTTTTCCGTTCCCGACAAAAGCAGCCCCTTACAAGTCGCGTGGTAACGTTGTGGTATCGACCGCCTGAGCTTTTGCTTGGTGCAACGGACTATGGAGTTTCTGTAGATTTGTGGAGTACTGGTTGCATTCTTGCAGAACTGTATGCTGGGAAGCCTATCATGCCTGGAAGAACAGAGGTATCATCTATCTAATGGCCTTTTATGCAATTAACTCAAAGCAATATGCATTCACTTGGCCCCTAAAATTGAACGGTGTTTGTTCCTACTTATTATCTTTTTTACATAGTTTCAAATGCATTAGCTATGCTCTGCAAAAGAAATTCAAGAACGATGAATGTAGATCAAATGTCTTGCTAGAAATTAGAAATATTTCTTTCGTCACGTCTGCCACTATTGGTATTAAATGCAAGAAGCAGGGTTCATTGCTTTGATACGGCAGTGGTGTATATTGCACATAATCAGAGGGAATAAGCAAAAAATGGAATGTTCTTTGTGCAAAACTTATGGTAGTTTTTTCTGCACTCTTCTGACACAAGGGGTTTCTGAAACCTGGTTTATAGATGTGCATACTAAACTTGAAACCACCTTTTCTGTCTATTTTCTTCTTCATGGCCACCCCCTGTGGGTTTTAAACATCTGCTCTTAATGTTCCTGTTTTCGCATTCAAAAGAATATTTCTATCCATGCAAGATTTGAAGTTCTAGTTCATGAATCTACTTAAGAACATTGATTTTTCATCAAGTTCTTATTGGTTTCTTTCTTTGTTTTTCTTCATTTCATTTTCCATAAAGATTCTTCTGCGTGCAAGCTTTTGATGTGTACTTCAGTTTCGTTTAATGTTATATTTTTTAATTGCTTTAAATTTTTTGACGCAGCAATTTGATGACCCCTTCCATATTTGTCGATGTAATTTGTAATACTAAATGTGCCACCATCAACAGGTGGAGCAACTACATAAGATCTTCAAACTTTGTGGCTCCCCTTCTGAAGAGTACTGGAAAAAATCAAAATTACCTCATGCCACCATCTTTAAACCTCAACATCCTTACAAGCGATGTTTTGCTGAGACATTCAAAGACTTCCCTTCCTCTGCATTGGCCCTTTTGGATGTACTTCTTGCGGTTGAACCCGATGGTCGTGGAACAGCTTCCTCTGCCCTTCAAAGCGAGGTAATCTTCTTTTTCGATGAATATGCTTCGAGGCAAATCTTCTGTTTCCTTTTTTTTTTTTTTTTTTTTTTTTTTTTTATGAATTTCCAATCTTAAGATTTTTGGGGTTACAAGTTCATGCTTGTCCTGTACTTGGAATATTTAGTTTTTGATGCTGCAGTATGCTGATGAGATTATCCTGCGCGAACCACTAGAAATTGGACCTGATTGCACATTTTAATAAGAGCTGAATTAATGTTGCGGGTAGAATGTTGTATAAAACAATTGTATTGTTTAAATAAATGTAATTGAAAAAGAACTTGATGGAAGTTTAAGCCCAAACCAAGGAAGTTTATTATAAACTCTCCCAATTATATTTACAAAAAGGAACATTCAATTTAATTTAGACCCAAGTTAAAGCAACAAAACGAGATTATTCAAAAGAGGAAAAAAAGATATTTAATAACTTCAATACAATAAATAGGCCTAATACCCTTTAAGATCACATAAACGAACAGAGCAAGGCCTTCCTTTAAGTATCCCAATTCCCATCGAACCTACTAAGCCATTTCTTTTAAAACACCTAGGCTGAAGAACTTCAAAAGTAAAAGAACAACAGTAGAGTAGCATGATATTAAATATTTATTAACATGTTAATGTTTCCATCAATATTTCCTTGTCTATGGGTTTCAACATCCTAAGCTGACAATGAGTACTGAGCTTAAGGATCGATTAAAGTACTCTTCGGAAACCTTGACATTATCAGAGAGAGATTCCAATTTCCCCTTTTGTATAGAAGAGAAATGATCGCGTCTTCAGTCTGTTACAAATAGTTGAAAGATTGCTAGTTAAAGTCGATGTTTCCATATTGAATCTCTCCACTGGACACCAGTGGGAGTCTCTGCAAAGAAGCTTACTTAATGAGATGGGATGACCTTTAGAAAATGTGTTTTAAGTGCACTTCTTTTCAAAGCATTTCTAAAAGTACTGTTTGCGCTTCTAAAAAATGCTTATGGTTCATTAGAAGTAAACTTCGGCAATTTACAGCAATGATAAAAATGATGGGGGAGAGAGAATCCCTCATCTAATTCCCGTCGTAGAAATTCGTATATTTGATCTCAATGGAAGGAAGTGTTATGCTTTTTAACATTGAGCTATGCTCATGTTGGCTAATAGATATTACGTTTTGTTTGGCAAAAATAAATTTCATCCCTTAATTCTTTCGTCACGTGCTTGATTCTCATGTTACATTTTCTTTCAGTTCTTTACTACAAAACCGCTTCCATCGGAGCCCTCTACTTTACCAAAGTACCCACCAAGCAAGGAGTTTGATGTTAAGCTTCGTGATGAGGAAAACCGAAGGTACATTCTTTATGAATTATATATTCAGTTGGTCCCTGGCTGCTCTTTCTAAAATCATCCATTTTTCTATTTTTGCAAAACCAGAAGAAGAGCTCCTATCAGTACAGCACGTGAACATGAAGCAGCTCGAAAGTTTCCGAAAGAACCTAAAGCTATTCCTGCACCAGATGCAAATGCTGAATTGCAGACATCCATGCAGGTAATTAGAAGGTTCCAAATGCATTTAATTAATGTTTTAGAAGAATCTAACTCTAAGTTGAGGACTTATGAATTAGTTCATTTGTGAAATTCAGAAGAAACTAAGGCAGCAGAATCCTTCAAGTGTCAGTGAAAAGTATAATCCTGAAGAGGACGGAGGTTCTGGCTTTTGCATTGATCCCCCTAAAGAATCAACACAAACTCAACCTAATGCTTCGAGTTCTTCACGAAACATGAACAGGAGTCGGGGTGATACTCCAGGAGGTTTTTCAATCGGGGAAAAGGGCGCAGAACTTAGAAAACAAAGATCTTATATGCACCATGGTTCTGGACAGTTATCCCGGTATTCCAATTCCGTTGCAGGTCAAGGCGGTTTGCAATTCGGCTGTGGTGGAGAAAGTAGTAGTAATTCACGTTGGCCAGAAGAGTGTTTTAATGTGTCATATAACCATTTCAATGGTGGCGAATCTTCAGAAAAGCATGAATGGTCTCACCATTTACTAGAAAGTCCGAAGTCTTCTTATAAGATAGATGATCAGTCATCTGGAAAAGAGTCTGCTATGGTAAAGTATCCAGTGATATTAATATCATTCTTTGCTTAAGCTGTATGATCTATTTTTGATAAAGCATTCTATGATCTTCTAAAGTTTTTATCGCTAACAATTTTCTATCTTTCATCAGAATTACGCCTCGAAAAAGAGAATTCATTATTCAGGACCCTTGATGCCTCCTGGTGGAAACCTTGAGGAAATGTTAAAAGAGCATGAGAAACAAATCCAGCATGCAGTTCGTAAGGCTCGTATAGACAAAGCGAAGACAAGAAAGACATACGATGACAAAAGTCTATCGGAGTCGTTGCTTCACCATATGAGAAACGGCAATTGAGCTTTAAAAACTGTCCGAAAGTTTGACCCAAGCAGGACAGAGAAGCTCATGTAGAACAGCATTGTTTAAATGTTGGTGAGACTTCCATATGGAAGTTCATGAAGTTTGCACAAGCTGCACGGAGGTACGGTTGAGTAGTTTTGAGTAGTTTCGTCGACCGTACTTGAGAGTTCAGATGTTAATACACATTTAAGGAAGAAAGACAATGAAATCCATTCAAAATGGGTTTCAGATCCAGAAATTGATAGAGGTCTGTCTCCTTGGCACGGATGAGTTGCTAAAGGAATTCTTTGTACAGCCTAACATGTTTTTCTAATCAGTTTTATGTGTTGTAAAGGGTACAGTACAGTAGGCGTTCTCCAAATTGAAGTTTTCCCCCCTCCACATCCTTATTTTTTTTGAAACACTTGGTCAAATACAACCACTACAGAGCTGCTAAACAGAGTTGTTACGATGAACAACTTGTTCTTGTTCTTGTCACCTATTCACTCTTAGTTATGTGACATTTGGCTCAATATTTACTCTGAATATGAATTTTTGGATTTGGGAAAATTTTGCATCATGGAAAACAGTACTTTAAGAACTTCCATTGATGGAAGCCGAGGAAATGGGCATTGGATGGAGAAGGATCTTCCATTGACGAAGTTCAAAAGCAATCTGAATGCCTTTGTTGATTTGTTCTGAGGGTTGTCTCTTTCTTGTTGATTTGCTTTATGTAATTTGTCTGTGTATTTGTGTGGATGTAAACTGATTAAGATGTGATTAATNATAGAAGAGAAATGATCGCGTCTTCAGTCTGTTACAAATAGTTGAAAGATTGCTAGTTAAAGTCGATGTTTCCATATTGAATCTCTCCACTGGACACCAGTGGGAGTCTCTGCAAAGAAGCTTACTTAATGAGATGGGATGACCTTTAGAAAATGTGTTTTAAGTGCACTTCTTTTCAAAGCATTTCTAAAAGTACTGTTTGCGCTTCTAAAAAATGCTTATGGTTCATTAGAAGTAAACTTCGGCAATTTACAGCAATGATAAAAATGATGGGGGAGAGAGAATCCCTCATCTAATTCCCGTCGTAGAAATTCGTATATTTGATCTCAATGGAAGGAAGTGTTATGCTTTTTAACATTGAGCTATGCTCATGTTGGCTAATAGATATTACGTTTTGTTTGGCAAAAATAAATTTCATCCCTTAATTCTTTCGTCACGTGCTTGATTCTCATGTTACATTTTCTTTCAGTTCTTTACTACAAAACCGCTTCCATCGGAGCCCTCTACTTTACCAAAGTACCCACCAAGCAAGGAGTTTGATGTTAAGCTTCGTGATGAGGAAAACCGAAGGTACATTCTTTATGAATTATATATTCAGTTGGTCCCTGGCTGCTCTTTCTAAAATCATCCATTTTTCTATTTTTGCAAAACCAGAAGAAGAGCTCCTATCAGTACAGCACGTGAACATGAAGCAGCTCGAAAGTTTCCGAAAGAACCTAAAGCTATTCCTGCACCAGATGCAAATGCTGAATTGCAGACATCCATGCAGGTAATTAGAAGGTTCCAAATGCATTTAATTAATGTTTTAGAAGAATCTAACTCTAAGTTGAGGACTTATGAATTAGTTCATTTGTGAAATTCAGAAGAAACTAAGGCAGCAGAATCCTTCAAGTGTCAGTGAAAAGTATAATCCTGAAGAGGACGGAGGTTCTGGCTTTTGCATTGATCCCCCTAAAGAATCAACACAAACTCAACCTAATGCTTCGAGTTCTTCACGAAACATGAACAGGAGTCGGGGTGATACTCCAGGAGGTTTTTCAATCGGGGAAAAGGGCGCAGAACTTAGAAAACAAAGATCTTATATGCACCATGGTTCTGGACAGTTATCCCGGTATTCCAATTCCGTTGCAGGTCAAGGCGGTTTGCAATTCGGCTGTGGTGGAGAAAGTAGTAGTAATTCACGTTGGCCAGAAGAGTGTTTTAATGTGTCATATAACCATTTCAATGGTGGCGAATCTTCAGAAAAGCATGAATGGTCTCACCATTTACTAGAAAGTCCGAAGTCTTCTTATAAGATAGATGATCAGTCATCTGGAAAAGAGTCTGCTATGGTAAATAGAAAGTCCGAAGTCTTCTTATAAGATAGATGATCAGTCATCTGGAAAAGAGTCTGCTATGGTAAAGTATCCAGTGATATTAATATCATTCTTTGCTTAAGCTGTATGATCTATTTTTGATAAAGCATTCTATGATCTTCTAAAGTTTTTATCGCTAACAATTTTCTATCTTTCATCAGAATTACGCCTCGAAAATCTATGATCTTCTAAAGTTTTTATCGCTAACAATTTTCTATCTTTCATCAGAATTACGCCTCGAAAAAGAGAATTCATTATTCAGGACCCTTGATGCCTCCTGGTGGAAACCTTGAGGAAATGTTAAAAGAGCATGAGAAACAAATCCAGCATGCAGTTCGTAAGGCTCGTATAGACAAAGCGAAGACAAGAAAGACATACGATGACAAAAGTCTATCGGAGTCGTTGCTTCACCATATGAGAAACGGCAATTGAGCTTTAAAAACTGTCCGAAAGTTTGACCCAAGCAGGACAGAGAAGCTCATGTAGAACAGCATTGTTTAAATGTTGGTGAGACTTCCATATGGAAGTTCATGAAGTTTGCACAAGCTGCACGGAGGTACGGTTGAGTAGTTTTGAGTAGTTTCGTCGACCGTACTTGAGAGTTCAGATGTTAATACACATTTAAGGAAGAAAGACAATGAAATCCATTCAAAATGGGTTTCAGATCCAGAAATTGATAGAGGTCTGTCTCCTTGGCACGGATGAGTTGCTAAAGGAATTCTTTGTACAGCCTAACATGTTTTTCTAATCAGTTTTATGTGTTGTAAAGGGTACAGTACAGTAGGCGTTCTCCAAATTGAAGTTTTCCCCCCTCCACATCCTTATTTTTTTTGAAACACTTGGTCAAATACAACCACTACAGAGCTGCTAAACAGAGTTGTTACGATGAACAACTTGTTCTTGTTCTTGTCACCTATTCACTCTTAGTTATGTGACATTTGGCTCAATATTTACTCTGAATATGAATTTTTGGATTTGGGAAAATTTTGCATCATGGAAAACAGTACTTTAAGAACTTCCATTGATGGAAGCCGAGGAAATGGGCATTGGATGGAGAAGGATCTTCCATTGACGAAGTTCAAAAGCAATCTGAATGCCTTTGTTGATTTGTTCTGAGGGTTGTCTCTTTCTTGTTGATTTGCTTTATGTAATTTGTCTGTGTATTTGTGTGGATGTAAACTGATTAAGATGTGATTAATTTGTGTGCCTACGTTTGTTTGCTTAATGTGGGTGTTAGGTTAGGTGTGAAAGTTTTAAGTTGTGAAACAACCAACAAGATTATTTTTCTGGCAAACTATCATAAAAACAACAAAAAGAGAGGTATTCCATTACATCTTGAAGACACGATTTAAGAGCATACAAGTAGATGATTCCTCATGTTTTTTTAGGTGACAAGAATGGGAGTGGATTTGAAGCAAGTGCCATACAGACCCATGCTGTATTTTACTCTCTTTTATGTATTTTACTCTCTTTTAAGTTTTTAATTTTTAAGGTAATTGCAACTTAAGTATTGCTAGTACTTATGATTAACCTAAGGAGATTGTAATCAAATCTCTATCACGAACCATTCAAATTTAAATTTCAAATTTAGAGGTACAAGGTTGAAATGGGATAGTGTTAGCATTAAAAGAGAGAAGATTAATCAATTAAGAAACTTAGGGCCATATTGGCTAGTGTGATTGACACTAGAAAAGAAAAGATATATGAAACTAGTTGTGAAAGAATTCTTAGATGTGTTCCGGGAGGATTTACCAAGATACCTTCTACACCTCCAGCTCGAACAATAATTTTTTATTCAACTTAAACTAGGTTCTCAGGTCTCCCTCTTTGAGATTTTGAACCAAGGATTACAACTTGACAGATGCGGAATGGGTGAAAAGGACGATAAAAAATTTCTTTTTTGAGACACTCAAACATATATACATATATACATAATATAAAACATAAGTACAATCGGGACAAAAAATATTGGAAGGAGACTAAGACTCATCTACCTAGTGAGACAACTTTTGTTCTTACAAGCAACTAGGGTAGGTATAAAATACTCTATAAATAGCCTAATTTTACTCTTAATCATGTCCATATCCTAGAAGTACCACTTTCTTTCTAAGCTTTAAGCTCTCTTTAAATTATGCTTATTATCTAAGCTTTTTATCTCAACTTTTTGGTAGGTCATGAAGTTCCTAAGTCCTAATTCTCTGGGATATGGGACCTATTAGGGTCCTTAGTAGTTCACCTAAGCTAAGCAACCTATCTAGGGTGAATTGACTAGTCATCTTGCTCACCTTACTTAAGCTACTTTGCCTCACCTTACTTAAGCTACTTTGCCGATGTCATGATTGTGTATATCTTGAATCTACAAGGGTGACCTTATACATAGTTCACACCTTAATTGACATTTTAAATACATGAATACCTAAAATCATCTAGTTGGTGACCCTACATAGTTGCCAACTATTAAGGGTATTTATGTGGCCCTTCACCTCTCTTTGAGTGAATATTTTATGGAGCATGAGTCATGTTGGGAGGCCCATGTCCATTTTCGTGCACGGTATATGACAAAATCATGATAAATCTTCATGCACAACTCTATTGAGACCAATTTGGGTCACATCAACGATGCCATATCAAAAACCTAAATGAATTGATTCGTTTGGTTCTCTACCGTGGTCCATATGATGGACTACATAGCCTTAATACTAAAAATCATAGACACCTATTTGTTAGGTATTGGTCCTATTGTGTCTCATTTGTCAATCGAATAAGCTTGTAATACAAGAAAATAAATAATGGTTGAACCAAGCCTATCCGACTGAAGAATGAATGCTTCTTGGATCTTCTTAGCCTTTTCAAGTCATTCAAAAGATTGGTCCTCAAATCAGAAAAATTATCACATATATCAAAAGAATTCAAGTCAGCAACATTGAAAGTAGAATGTATTAAAAATTCTCTGGGAAGATCAATTTTATATGAATTGTTATTAATTCTTTTAAGAACTTGATAAGGGTCCTCCGCTCCTAGATGTAACTTTGTCTTCCTTTGAGATGAGAATTGTTCTATCGAAAATGTATCCAAACTCAGCTCCTAGATGTAACTTTGTCTTCCTTTGAGATGAGAATTGTTCTATCGAAAATGTATCCAAACTCAGTCACTGGGTTGAAAAATGATTTCCTTTCGTCATTTGTAAATTCTTGAAGCAACTTTGAAATTTGTTTCTCAATTCTATCCTCCACCTCTTTTTGCAATATTTTGGTGAAATCGGCCTTATTGGTAGCTTTTTCACTCACAAAAATATTAGAAGGAATAAGATGCAAATCAAGAGGCGTAAGTGTATTAAATTCATAAACAACTCCAGAAGGAGAACACTGAGTGGTACTATGAATTGATCTGTTATATGCAAACTCTACAAATGATAAACATTATCCCAAGACTTAATATTCTTAAAAGTAATAGCCATGAGCAATGCTTTTAATGTTCTATTAACCACCTCAGTTTGAACATCAATATGAGAATGACATGTAATTGAAAACAACAATTTGGTATCCAATTTACTCCATAATACTCTCCAAAAGTGAAAATTTAACATCCATATCACCAACATTTATTTGAGGGATTCCATGTAATCTGACTTCTTCCCTAAAGAATAAGTCAGCAACATGTTTTGCATCATTTGACTTGTTGCATGAAATAAAATGAGTCATTTTACTACACTTTCTACCACAACAAAAAATACTATATTTACCATTTTTTAATGTGCAACAAACCAAGAACAAAATTTATAGATATATTAGTCCAAGGTTGGTTAGGTACATTCAAAGGAATATATAATCTATTTGGTTGGGATCTAGATTAGCTTATTTACATTTAAAACATTGGTTACAAAATTTATGAACATCGTGTTTCTGAAGGAAATAAACTCTTCATCCACGTAGCAGAAGCATTGGAAACCGTTTAATTTTTAATAGAAATTAAAACAAAGTAATAACTCATACCTTTGTAGAAACCATAGATTACAATTCTCAATTCTAACAAGGAAGCTCTTCCACAAAATCTTCCGTACTATGGGTGTAACACCAGTTAATTGACTTATGGGAACCTTTTAGAATATTAAGAGAATTTTGACCTAGATGGTGCTCAATACCAGAGTCCTATTTATAAAAAGACTTTACATAATAGGATACAATATTTTATTTAAACCATATTTAAATATCCCAATCTATCTCATTATATATTTAACTTATGGAATCTCATTTTTTATTTAAACCATATTTAAATATCCCAATCTATCTCATTATATATTTAACTTATGGAATCTCATTCCATTTTGGAATATATATTTTTATTTAATATATCTAATATACATTAATATATTTTTAATATTTAATGTATTAAATACAATAAATATATTTTTAAACCTTTGAAATTTAATCTATTTTTCTTCTTTAATATTTAATATATCAAATATACTAAATATTAATTTTAACATTTCAAATTTATTCTTTCAATTAAATTTACCTTTTGATGTTATTATGAGTTAGTATGGGACCTTATAGACCTACGGGTTATAAGCTCCAATGACATCAAATAATTAACTGAACTCTTTAATTACTTAATGTTCAGTCATTAATTATAGGTCACTCCACTAAAGTCTTATGCACGGTAGGACAAGTTATGTCAATCATTTATCATTAAAGACAAATCGATCCTTCACAAGTTATTCGTAACTACACTGGATTAAAAGTCCGATTTACCCCAATACATCTTGTACCTTAAGTACCATTGATTCTCTAATAAACCAATTTTTTATGATCTAATCATAAATTGAGTCCTTCTCGAGCCCGTGAGAGGGTGGGGCCCCATTGTTTAAGTCCCCACAATAGTAGACATATTAAATTGGCTACGAAAGCCATTCTTACTCATGCAAATCAAAAGACAAGTCCTCATTGATAGGAGTTCATAACTCAATCATGATTAAGATTGAGTCGCACATGATCATCCTGTGAAATATTAATTTTCTTAATTAACGGATTTATAAATAGAGATTAAATATTTCGTGGTCTAGTCTTATACAAACTCATTGTATAGGATACCTCCACTTACGTCTCCACATGAATGATTTGGATAAAATCATTTGTAACAATTACAAAGCGGTCCATATCAATAGTGTTACCAGGGTAAGACACCCAACCTTATCCATATACTATAGTCATTTTAGGTTATTACTCGAACATGATCTTCCTATATGTCAATTACATACTGTTCAAGTTTACCATGATAACCTTGGATCTTACATGATTATTGGATAATGTTTCACACAATAACAAATTACTTAATTCATAAATAAGATAATGTTCAATTACAAAAACTACGAGCTTTAGGGCACAAATCCCAACAGTTTCATCTTTGGCTAAAAGAAGTGTTAATTCAACCAAGTGTCCCATTAAGCCACCACCATGTGCTTCTTTTACAAGCAAATCTCTTAGAGAGCATTAAGGAATAAAAACCTTACTTTTCTTAAATAAAAATTCATGAAGCACGTAATAATCATCCACAGCTTTTTTTGCAAGACAAGATGCACAAATAGTTACAAAGTCTTGTTCATCTCTGTATAATTCTTTAATATGCTCAAATCCAAGAATTTTTGCACTAAGAGAATAAAGAGATTGTACCTTCTAGATAATGCATTTGATAACATACAAAAATGTTTCAATAAACTCTACACACTCTACATGCCTATGGTTCAGTTTGCTTTGACACTTAGAATACGTAGTGTTGTCATAAGTAATTCTCTAGGTCATAAGTAGTGTTGTCACACCTGCAATGTGTGAAATAAAGCAAACAAATTCTTTATCATAGATAGGATAGTTCAATGCTGCCCCATTTAGTTTTTCATTATAATATATTAAGGGTTTTTTTATCTTGCATCAACATCACCGGTGCTTAAACCACTTGCATCACACTCAATTTTAAATGTTTTATCAAAGTTAGGTAAGACAAGTAATTGTGCATTGGTTAATTTATTCTTAAGCTCATTGAATACATTCTCTTGCATGTGCTCTCGTTTAAAAATTTTTTTTTTTTTTTCACTAAGTCATTTAATGATGCAACTATGGTGCTAAAATATTTTATAAAACTCCAAATTTCACTTGCATTTTTTGGTATTGGCCAATCCCTCATTGCTTTAACTTTTTCTTCATC